TAGGGTCTGTTTGGCTAATTAAAGTGTTTTTTATTTCGTTTTTTCATTCTGTTATGTCTGTTATTGTACTCAGGGGCACAAGGGTCTTTTTCCTTGTTATTTCTGCCGCCCTATATATATTAAAATAAAGGCTGGCGCCGCCTGCACTATTACATTGCAAAATCCTTCTTTCTTCTCTCCTCTCTTCTCTTCTCTTCTCTTCTCTTCTTCTCCTCTTCTCTTCTCTTCTCTTCCTCTTATTTCTGGCCAGCCATACTGTCAAGAGTATGATATCATTTATTGACAACAAGCAATTAAATGTTCATCAAAAATAAAAAGATAACAAGCAATTAAATAGGTTTGATATCCAGATCCTCACAGTTATGAAGTTCAGCTCTTATTAGAATGTGATGTCCCAATTAGGAGTCAAGATTTCATAACCAAATTCTTTGATCTTGACTTGAATTGTGGTGGTCTTGAATTTTCAAAGAAATTCTGAATTCTTCGTTGAGAGTTGTAAAAAGATCACCAAGAAATTACTTTTCTCTCAAGCTCAAGGCCTCCTATCCCTATTCTCACTGTTTATCCTTACATTGTAATTTTTGTAGAAGGTCCAACAGAGCAGCTACCTCCCAATTGTTTAAGTTTCTTCAAAATTGAAGATTCCACACCACTTCATTGTTGTGTTGTACAAAGTTTTTAGCCACCCTTGCTTCCTGTTTCAAGTTATTGCAGACAGTAATGGGAAAGACTCCATGATATGCTTGCCATCACACGAAACATCTTTCCAAAACATCAGTTTTTTATTTTTTTTGATATCTTCTGAAGGGGCTACACAATGGGGGGTAGCCCATCCCCCCCACAAACCCAGGTGCAGGCGGGATTCGATCCCAAGTCTCCGCTATGACCAGCAGGAGACCTTACCAACCAGCTGGTTGGCACCTTGCTCCAATACAAACATCACTTTTTCACCATTTCCAACCTCATTTTATACCTTTAATGAACTGATAGTATGATTTTTGCACTCTTCCAAACTGAGCATCCATAGGAAGACAAGACTTCACCTGTATGGCTGTATCCCACATTCCCACTCTACATTCCTCAAGTTGCTTTTTGCCAAAATGACCCTCCATAAATTGTCTGCCTGTTCATTTAACCTCCAAAACCACTTGCCCAATAGGGCAGTGTTAACCTCCTTTGACTTTTTGATCCCTAGTCCCCCATTTTTCTTAGCCATGCATGTCCTATTCCAATTTACCAAGTGACATTTGGACTCTTCCTCCCAACCCCTCCATAAGAAGTCACACAATTTTTTCTCCAACACATCTTATCTAGTACTGAAGTGTCACCTCTCAGCTTGGCCTGTTGGATTTGACATCTCTTCTTTACTAATCCTCACTGCTATGGTCCTTATGTTTTTTTAATCGATAACAGAAAAAATAATTATTAATTAAACAGCAGGAATACAAGATGAGAGGTAATTTTTCTCAACTCTGCTCAAGAAACAAAAACAATTACATCTGAGCCCAAAATAATTGACTTCTTTCCACCCCTTGTTTTGAAAAAACATCAACAAAGGCATTAACAGTTCATTTAACCCAATTAACTTTCACGTCCAGATACTGTGTTAACCATGTGAACTTCTTCCTTTCACCATTAAAGATCCAGAAGCCATTTCCTTCCTTTTGCAACCAATCCACTACCAACTTTGAATCACCTATTACCAGTTTACTTAAATTCAATTCTTTTGCCTTCTGCACTCCCTTCATAACAGCYAAAATCTTAGCCCTTATTGAGTTGCTTACTCCAATTGGACCTGATTCCTGAGTACAGGCCAATTACTTTTCCCTCACCATTTCTGGACATACCTCTAATAACAAAAGGGCCTGGGTTTCCTACACTACTCCCATCAAAATTTAGTTTAATATAGTCATTCGCTGGAGGAAACCCAAGTGAACTTGCAATGGCCTTGTGATAACTCTGAGCTAGCCACTTCTTTCCAATTTTTCAACAAGTTGTTATAAGATAAATCGGAAAAAAAGTTCCAAAGGTTTCACCCAATGAACCATTCTAACCATAATGATCTCAATAATTGCCTCTATGGTCCCTGTGTTTCTTCGAGGTAGGAGTCTTTAAGATTCTATGATTTGAAATTTTTTTGTGATTGCTAACAATGATAGTCATCCTCAAGTCTTCCTTTGTATCCAAATGGTAAAAAAGAAATAGGAAACGGAATATGTATTTGGTTTATCTCTTTTTTATTTTATACTTACTCAGTTTCTGCATCTTTCTTACAGATTCCAACAAATTCTCTTGGTCTTATTGAATATAGGGCACATCCTTTCTGGTTTCAAAAGTATTGCCCCTCACATGAATATGATGGGACTCCACGCTGTTGCAGCTGTGAACGGATGGAGGTTGTACTTTTTAAATATTTTATGTTAAAAAGGCAGCAGTTCTACACTTGCAAACGTGCCTTGTATTTTTATGGCTGTTTTGCTCAGCAATTTTGATAACAGAAAACCTGTCATTTTCTGCAGCCAAGAGACACAGGATATGTCTCCTTGGATGATGGACGGAAACTCTGTCTAGAGTGTCTGGATTCAGCAATAATGGACACTAGTGAATGTCAACCACTTTACCTGGATATACAAGAATTTTATGAAGGTTTAAATATGCAAGTGAAACAGCAAGTTCCATTACTCCTTGTTGAAAGACAAGCACTAAATGAGGCCATGGAAGGAGAAAAGAATGTAAACATATATGCATTTCAGCTCTCAAGTTTCTTTTTATAGAGAAAGTCATTTGGTTATTTTATTGCTCATAGGTTTTACCTTTTGGGCTCTCTGTTGTAAGCAGGGTCATCATCATATGCCTGAGACTAGAGGGCTTTGCCTATCAGAAGAACAAACTGTCAGCACTGTAAGGACTCTCTTAGCATTATTACTAATAAAGGTTGAGGATGTATAGACAACATGTTTCGTGAGAGCAGGACTAATTCTTCTGCTTTTACATGGATATACTAGATTTTAAGGAAGCCAAGAATTGGGGAAGGGAACCAAATCATTGAAATGACAACTGAGCCGTATAGACTGACCCGTCGGTGTGAAGTAACAGCCATTCTTGTCTTGTATGGCCTGCCTAGGTATTACTTCTCATCTTATCTTCTTCAGTTTCTTGGTCACAATTAATTTAAGTGGCAGTTATACCATGGCAAAGATGTTTATTGTTTGATAAAGAATATATTTGCATGCAGATTGTTGACTGGGTCTATCTTGGCACATGAGATGATGCATGCGTGGCTGCGGCTTAATGGTTTTTTCCTCGTACCCACCACAATGAATTGGATTCTGGTGATTTCTTGAAATGCTGAAGTCGGAGCCCTTTTTTTGTTTGGCAGGCTACCGCACTCTTAGTCAAGATGTTGAAGAAGGCATCTGCCAGGTTCTGGCACATATGTGGCTGGATTCAGAGATCATGTCAGGCAGTGGTAGCAGCATTGCTTCAACTTCATCATCTTCCGCTTCAACATCATCAAAAAAGGGTAGACGTTCTCAATTTGAGATGAAGCTTGGGGAGTATTTCAAACGCCAAATTGAATCTGATACATCACCTGCATACGGAGATGGTTTCCGAGCTGGTAACAAGGCAGTGCTTAAGTATGGGCTTAGAAGAACCCTTGACCATATTCGAATGACGGGGGGCTTTCCATACTGAAGTTTTGAACCTGATTCTATCTTTCTTTGCTATTTCATTCCACGAGATTAAGCTTTGGCCCTGTCATATTAGAGCCCAGGGCCAATCCACATAACGACTCGAAAGTCTAAAGAGGTTAGCAAAAATTCTGGTTCCAAACATTCCACTCACAATCACCCAGAGATTAGCAAAAATATTCATGAATACCTATTTATTGCCCAGTGCACGAGGCTCCCGTCAATGAGAAATTGAGAGTACCTCTTATTGGCTTATTATTGCCATTTGATGATATTTGTCCACCAAAAGAAAACAAAAAACCACAAGAAAATATTTAATGAATTAGATATTTCCGTTTTATCCTTCCCCACTGCTCAGTTTTAGGTAGCTCAATCAAATATGACATTGTTGCATCGACATTCAACACATCGTGTATATATAGTTTTTACCYTTTTGATGGCGGACGGCACGGCACGACTGCTGAAGTAGAGAAAAATGTAAAGAGAAACAAGTGGCGTTAAACAAAAGACGAGCAAGATGTTTTCCCAGCTAGGTTGAATCTTGGGCGTCTGTGTCTGTCTTTGACTGGTGAAATCTTCCACATGCGAAATCTGATGCGTCCAGAATCCAGATACATCAAGTACGTTGACCCTCTGGATTTCCCACGGTTTTGGTGCTTTCCTTGTGAAATTTGGTTTGTACCAAAAAAAAATCTGATACTTTGCCATCTCTTGTCAGATTCTGAAAGGTGACGGTTTTTACATCGTTTCAATCTTATTACTGACAATCTTCTACCAAAAAAAATAAAAAAACCCTTGCTGATAACCATGCGTGGTAACAACCACAACTTAAGCCTGCAGTCGATCTTCTAGCTATATAATGGCTCATGGTTGGATCCTTCTCGTTGTTTTGTGTGTTGGAACTGCTCTCTTCTGATTTTGATATTCTTGTACAACTTTATTTACTTCACTTTCTCTGCTACAGCCTACAATTACAAAAGAAATGAYCTAGATACTGTATTTGGAGAGAATCAACCTGGCTAAATTGAAGACAAAACCCAAGATAAATTGTTCCCTAGAGTTTCTAATTATTTAAGCAATCCATTCACGTACGTATGAGGCAAATTAATGTGATCTGATGTCACAATTCATGTTTACATGATTGGGGATCAATTTATAGGGCAATGATCAGTAATGTTATATTTGCTGTAAAGATGAGGAAAGAAGACGGTAGGAGGAATTAAACATATTACAGAGTAAACCATGTAACTTTTGTAAAGCTGATGAGTGTGATAATGAATTCTTTTTTCAGAAACTGGATTAGTTATAAATAGAATGTGCAAATTGGTCTCGTTATGTTTTTTAAATTTTCACCCCAAGTGGAAAAGTTATCCATTTGAGAGATGGGAATCATTTATCCCAGGTGCAAATCCATGTATTTTGTATTATTTTATATGCATTTGCATTATACATATTTGTATTTGTACTCTTTCCAAATTAAACTATAGGGAAAATAACTTTACCATGGGGCTCGGCGGCTTGCAACTTACAGAAGAGAGAACACAGTAAAATTGGTCAATGGGAACCACTTTCCTGCTGACCAACCTTTTGCTATCAGCCAAGGTTGCAACATGGGAACTTGGACTAGCTCAACTCAAGCTCAACCCAAGTTTCTACACAAGCTGAACCTGAGATTTTGGGCTTAATTAGAAAACTTGAGCCTGACATAAACTTGGTTTGGGCTTGGCTTGAGGCCTCAGATAGCTATGCCTTACCCCATATGTGTGTGTGTGTGTGTGCGTGTACGCACGCACAAAATATGCATATGTACATTTATAAATAAAATTTGTACATATTTTCAATTAATTCTATTCCTAAATTGAACTATAAAGGCCAATAAAATTTGAAGTTTGGTTATATAAAAAATATATTCTTAAATTCTCTCAAACCCGACCAATCTGCCCAAGTTCAACTAAACTAGCCCTACCCAACCTTAGCTTGACCTTAGCCAGAGACTTGATTAGGCTTGGGTTGATAAACTCAAGCTTAACTTTGGGTTGGGTCAGGTCCAAGCTTCAAGTTTACACCTTTGATCCAATCTGTTTGAGTTGCAAACCCATTATTAACAAATCTGGGCCCAAAGTTCATGGCTTTTATTTTGAGGACCTTTTTTTTTTGGGTAGAGAAAGCCATGACTATTCATGCCATACAACTTGATGTCGATATTATCAGTCTCAGTCCACTCGAACTGGATTGGAGACAATACTCTTTGGTCACTGAGTCATAGTTCGAATGGTTCGACTATTCACTAATATTATTACTTCTTGGTTGAATTTTCAAAAATTATTGACGAATTCACTATTATTTGAAAATATTATTAATTATTTTCACCAAATATTATAAATTATTTAAAATTCCAAAAAAATCTGAAATTATATGAAAATTATGTGAAAAAGGTTTCCTGAAATTTTAGTATTTTCAGATAATAAATAATTTTTACTATTTCTTGAAAATATTGAAAATTATCTTTACATTTGAAAATCCAAGTAAATATCCAAAAATTCCATTAATGTTTAAAATTCCAATAAATATCTAAAATTTTTTGAACATATCTGAAAAAAGTATTTAACAAAATTTTCCTTTAATGATTTTTATTAAAATTTAATAAATATCTTAAAATTGCGTCAGAATTAATGAGTTTTTATATGACATTAATTTACTACTGAATTTTCACATGAAATTAATTTTTTATGAAAAGAAAAATTTCAATTACTTAAATTTTAGAATTACCTATTTTTTTCAAAAATTTGTGATAATTATTATTTTCAAAAAAAATTCAGTGGACATTTAAATATTATTAATGAATAATTTAATTATATAAAATTGATAAATATTATTTTTCACTAAAATATTGAGTTTTCCAATAAATATCTGAAAAATCAATTAATACTGAAAATTACAAAAAAAGTATATGAAATTATTTTAATATCTGAAAATGGATTTCTGAATATTTTAGTATTTTCAGATAATAATTAATTTTCAATAATTTTTTAAAATATAAATTACAATAAATGTTGAAAATTTCCTTAACATTTGAAAATCACGATAAATGTGTAAAGATTTCATTAATGTTAAAAATTCCAATAAATATCTGAAATTATTTGAAAAGTATCTGGAAAATAATTTCTGGAATTTTTTACATAAGTTTACCATGTGATTGACATCCTTTTGATACTTTTTGTATTGGATATTAATTTTTGTTAGCATCATGGGTCCCCGCAGATTGCAATTGAAACTTAGTTAAAATAAAATGCCAGTGTAGTTTGCTTCAATAAGAATATTTTGATGATTTCTTGGTGTGATGACGTACATCCTGTACTCCAGCTTTAATACGTCATTGTTTCGGATGTGCTCCTCACAGAGCGCACCTCATACCGATCTTACACTACATCCCACCCTTGTATATCTGTGAGGAGCAGATCCGGACTCACAWTACATATACAATTATTAACCGCCCCTATATATTGAAGGAGTTCGCATCTCCGCCCCACCGCCTGCCGCCCCACAAACGCCCCACACGATAAGCAATTGCCACATGTTCAATCTCCCGCGATAGAGTGTTCCCGCGTGCGGGTTAATAAAACAGCCTTTGTTCGTTCCGTTAGCTTCAAAACGTTCCCGCGTGCGAACGCCAAGTTTTCCTTTGTGTAACGAGAAAGCTTATCTGAACAGGTGCATTCGTCGTCCCTTCCTCTTCCCATTTTCCAACTTCTTTCTTTCTTCATCACCTTCAGCAGCAAGCACCCTCCGGTGTTATCTCCTCTCTATCCCTACTTCGTCCTCACTTTATTCCTTTCATTGCCGACGTCATCACCTTCTCCAGCCACGGTCACCGGACGCAGCTCCACCCATCTTTTCCTCCTGCCGCTACCTCTCCCATTATCTTTCTCTCTATTTTCCTATTCTCTCTCTTCTGTCTTTCGTTCATAGTCACTCCACGCCTTCTTTTTTCTGCTCCGTTCATCTCCACCGACCAAATTGGTCCCGTTACCATCTCGACAATTCTTACTCTCTCTCTCTCTATCGAACTGCTCGCTGCAACTGTCTCCATTGTCCATCACCTCCTATCCTTACCGTAACCCACCATTTTTTCAATCTACAACCATGCAAACACAGAGTTGTCGTCCCTTGCAACTTCGTCATTTCCACCCTCTGCAAGTCAGTCCATCGCCGCTTCAACCTCTTTTCGCACACCGAACCGCTATCTTCGTAAAACCATCTTCACCTCATCATCCATCACTGCCATCAACTGATCTCTCTCCCCGACTCTTCTTGTTACCGTACTTGCCAACCTCTCTCCCACCGCGCGGTGTTATTTCTCACCGCAACCACCACCGCTGCTATTCACCACTGCAGTTACACTAGAACATCACTGAACCACCGTTTACCAACCACTCTGCTCACCGAACATTAATGATGGAATCACCTTTCACCAATGAATCAACTACAATGGAGAAGGGGTCATTTTTTAAAATGTTGATTTAAGGTTGAGGGAGCGGAAATATGAGAAAAAAGAGGTTTGAAATCGTTTCGGGACTTACAGAACGAACAAACGGCCGTTTTATTAACCCGCACGTGGGAACGCTTATCGCGTGCGATTGAACATGTGGCAGTTGCTTATCGTGTGAGGCGTTTGTGGGGCGACAGGAGGTGGGGCGGAGATGCAAACTCATATTGAAGCCTTTGAAGGAAAGTGTTAAAAAAGTAGGTGAAGCAGCCATACTTGTTCCATGATTAATTAATGTCACAACACAAGCAATCGTTTTTTTTTTTTTTTTWMC